TGTACTTTGCCCCATGTGTATAAGCCCCAAAAATTGATCTTTAATGTTTTAAGCCCCCTCCACGTCAGCTTTATACCAAAAGCAGAATGTATTTTGGAAAAAAACCGAAACTGCAATTCTCTTTCTTCCCCAGACGAGGCCTAGTCCCGAACAACAGAAGTCACTTCTCATTAATGCGATATGATGAAAAAAATGGAGGAAAATTTCCCCCTTTTTTTTACTCCATCATGAGCAATAACTATTTAGTTCTCCATTACTCCTCCTCAGACCAAAATTCTCTCCATTACTCTCTTCATTACTCTTACCATCCCTTCAAAATGGCTGAAAATGACATCATCTGCATTGTCTCTTCGCGGTATAAAGCGGTATTCTTGAAGATTAATTCTTCAACCACCATCTTGGATCTCAAGTTTGATGTAGCAGAGATGTTAGATCTTCCATATGAATCATTAATTTTGACATACGAAGATGAAACGATTGGAAGCTTAAAATTTCCCATCCATCCCTTCAAAATGGCTGAAAAGGACATCATCTGCATTGTCTCTTCGCGGTATAAAGCGGTATTCTTGAAGATTAATTCTTCAACCACCATCTTGGATCTCAAGTTTGATGTAGCAGAGATGTTAGATCTTCCATATGAATCATTAATTTTGACATACGAAGATGAAACGATTGGAAGCTTAAAATTTCCCATTGAGAACGATGGTGATCTGACGTCTATGGTGGAGCATTGCCACAATCTTGGACTGAAAGAGGTTCACATTCAAGGTTTTAAAGAAGGAGATGATTCTTCGAATAAACAAGAAAACGAGCAAGTCCGACAAGACATGTAAGTTAACTGTAAAATCAATTAACTTTAGTTCTAATCGTCTTCTTGTTAGGTCTATTCTAGGTTTAGATGGACTTCAGTTCTAATCGTCTTCTTGTTAGGTCTATTCTAGGTTTAGATGGACTTCAGTTCTAATCGTCTTCTTGTTAGGTCTATTCTAGGTTTAGATGGACTTTAGTTCTAATCGTCTTCTTGTTAGGTCTATTCTAGGTTTAGATGGACTTCAGTTCTAATCGTCTTCTTGTTAGGTCTATTCTAGGTTTAGATGGACTTCAGTTCTAATTCGATCGTATGTTAGTTGTAATCTTGGTTCTGTTAGTTCTAATTCGATCGTATCTTATGTTAGTTGTAATCTCGTCTTCTGTTAGTTCTGTTAGTTGTAATATGCCTAATCCCGAACAACAGTTCTAATTCGATCGCATCTTATCGTTAAGCGGTTCTTTGTTATGCCCCATACTAGACTTCTAATGGTTTCTTTGTCAGTTCTAATCACTATTTTGTTAGTTCTACTAGATTTATTGGTAGTTCTACTCTAGTTCCATATGCTGCAAGTGCTGCAAAGGTTGTTAGTTCTGATCTATGTCTTGTTAGTCCTAATGGTTATATTGTTAGTCCTAATGGTTATATTGTTAGTTCTAATCGCTATATTGTTAGTTCTAATGGCTATATTGTTTGTTCTAATAGCTATAATGTCAGTTCTAATCAATGCACTGTTAGCTCTAATGGTTATATTGTTAGTTCTAATTGATTCTAACTGCAAGCAGTTAGTCGTTTTTGCTTTTTAGCTTTTGCTATTATCTGTTGATACTTCTACTATTTGTGTAGTTTATGATAAACCTATTGATGTTCTTAATATTTGTAGCGCTTCCAGCAGTTTGAACTCAAAAAGCATAGACTGTGGCCCGTCGGCGTTGTGGACCACAAGTGTTCCAGATAAGAATCCCAATGACAATCCTTCCGGAGATGATGTCATGACGATTGATGACATGATTAGCAGATCAGAGAGGATTCCTGCTTGGTGGCACACAGCTTTAACCGGTGAGGGACAACGATTTGAAAGTGCGAATGAGTTAAGATTGGCCTTGCTATACTACTCCATCTTCTTATCTGTTAAAATGAAGAGAGGCTTTATAATAATTTTCTTCTCATGTTCACTTAGAGCTTATACCAATTTGCACAAGTCATTCACAAGAAGCCATTTGAACTATTTTTATTCCTAATCAAGCATATTGCTTTCTTTAAAGTTTAAGACAAGGTTATGGTGACTTGGTGTTTCCATCTTCTTCGATTCATCTCTCTGTAGGTGCACCTACATGAATGATCATTGAACACAGGAGACTCAAAAGAGATTGTGCGGACGATTCATCGTACCTCATCTCTCACGTGTCAATTCTACATCCTAAATGGGTGCTGCATAGGGATATAACAGTTAGTTATTCATTGGTCTAATTTTCAAGTTCGTTCCAAAATGTAAAGCATATTTTCGTATGCACATGGGATCACAAGATGACTCCTCTAAGACGTGCGATCATAAATGTTCAGGTAGCAGCTAAACAAGGTTTCAATGAGTACCTGGACCTGAGGGATGCCTTTACTAGCATGTTGATAAGTATGACTGTTGATTTCCACCCTAGTTCTAAGAACATGTATGCCGTCTCTAGTTGGGACTTGGGGTGTATATCGCCATGACATTTCTGACGAGGATATCATTTTATTAGTCATCTTGTTTCATACAGAATATTCTTACATTGCCTATAATCCTTAAACAAGTCCCCAAAATGAGCCGCGTTAAATTAATAACATAAATTTTGGGTCCGCTTGTTGATCTGAGCACTGATTCAATTAGTTTAGCATATTAAGTGTTAGTGTGTAGATATTAATCTTCATTGACTTAACATAGTATAAAAGTAAATGCTAGAAGAGTTACCTTTTTCCCCACTTTTTGATGTTAGGGATGAGTTTGGTGAACTCTTATATTTAGTCTTAGTTGGATTTCGAAGAGATTTCATGAGGCAGTAGTTACTTCTACCAGTTTCTTACATAGAGTTTCTGTGGTAACTGACAAGTTGGTATCGTCCAACTTAATAGTTCGGATTTTGAATTTGAGCTCTGTCGGCACCAAGTTTCATGTCCGATATATTTTAGAAGAGATGATGGGTTTATATAAAAGAAGAAAGATCGAGTGGGTTAATGATGATGATGCAATCTTTTATGCTACTTGATTGTATCTTCCAAATCGGCCTGAGGTCATCTTATAGCAACAGCTTTAGTCTGACTTACTAATCCTGTAGGTAGCATTCTTATTCAAGCACCATCAGATACCATCTAACTTTGAGAGGAATATGAAGGGTTCAAGAGATATAAAGCCCATTAGGGTATATTAATAAACCATAAACTTGATTCCTCAATATCTTCCAAAAATTGTCATGCTCGTTATTACTTGTTTGGGAAGCCTTGCTGTAGCAACCACCACAAGTTTTGCCAATAGTTTCTTTTTGGCGTGTTACCACGGGAGCTCATGCAGCACAACTTGATCCACACAATTTATCTCAATGTGACATCAAGCCCAATCCGATGACCATCAGCTAAACCAAGCATAGCTGATGGTCATTTTCTATTGGCACTGGCATAATCTATGCATGAAAATGTGGAGAACGATATTCGCCTTTTCCATTGCATTTTTCCTTCTCTGATGGCCAAAGCTCTTCACCCCGTCTTTCATTTTAATTGACACCTTGCCTTCTCTGTTTTTGGTTTATTGGTGTTGCTGTTCTTGAGCCCATTGACTTTTTAGCTCATTGATAGGTCAGCCTAATTTTTTTGCATGCTTCATTTCCCTCTTTTTCCTTCCTCTAACTATGCAGAGTTCATAAATAAGGATTTGGGATCTCAAAGGATAATAGAAAAATTGTACCCTCGTATGCTTGAGTAGTTTAAATTGTTTGTCGTTATTATTTTTACCTTTTGTTTATCTCATTCCAATATGAGTTCCTCAGCTCATGTTATGTAATTAATATTTGTAATATTTTAAGTATACTGTAATGACTTTAAATCTAATGGTTTCAGGTGTTCATAACTTGTTTGAACCTTTTGATACAGGAGAGGTTCTTCACACCTTCACAATTCTTACAACTTGTTCTTCTTCAGCTTTGGAATGGCTTCATGGTAGTTCATTATTTTGCTTACTTTTTCTGTTTGAAATTTAGTAACTTCAAACAATTTATTACATGTCATACGTAACTAAAAGTAGTGAAGTTTCTAAACTCAGTATGATTACTGAAATACGGTACCTATACTATAGGTAGAGGACAGTCAAGTAATCGACCTCGTAGCTTTTGTATTAGTTTATCATTATTGTTAGAATTAGGGGTGGAAACAAACCTCCGCCGGCGAAGAGGAGCTCCGACGAGCTCCGACGAGTTCGATGGTCGCAGGCGAGCTCCGGTAGCCCAGGCGAGGTTGTCGACGACCAGACGCAGGCGACAGGACGAAGCTCGAAGCCCCCAGCTCTCACTACTAGAAAATGAGCTTGTACCTACGGAAAAATAGCGACGGACAATTCCGTCGCTATATGTTACTTTATAGCGACGGATACATACGTCGCTATTTATCCGTCGCTATAATTGTTTTAGCGACGGATTATCACATTTTAGCGACGGAAATTTTTCGTCGCTAAAATATTTTTCGTCGCTATAAAGAGGTGAGCTTTTAACTCAGTACTGGTTTAAAACTATTTGTATGTGTTTGAGCCATGTGTAACTTCTGATAAAGATGGTGGGATGCATCAGTCCTGCTGATGATATGATACTAATGAGATGCTATAGGTGCACTTCAGTTCCATGCCATGCCAAAAACACACTTATAGCTACAAGAAAACACACTGATTTAGTGATATTTATTGAAGGAAGACAATTTGAAAGACGTTCATCAGTGAAGTGTTGGAAGAAGAGTACAAACTAAAGAGGATTCATACAATTTACTTTTTAAGCAATCCACGGCCAACTTACTTGTCTGCTTTATGAACTGCAGATACAACTGAAAGCTTCCGGTGAAAAACCGTTATCAACGTTCTTCACAAAGAAATCTGAAGTTAAATGCGAACCAGAGCCTGAATCACTGAAATCATCCAAACAAGAACATGATCCCAGCAATTTGAAAGAAGAACCAGGTTCAGATGATGTTGAGCAAAAAGTCACCGACGAGGAGGAGGATAACAAAAAGCCTGAAATTTCTTGTGTCAAAAGAGGATTGGAGGAAATGGAGAACCCTTCTCAACCGAAGCACGAGAATTTACAAAGCAACCAAACAAGTCCAGTGAAGAAAAAGGTGAAAAGCGTAAAGAATACAGATGATAAGCAATCATCTCTGCTTTCTTATTTTGGGAGAAGTTAGGGCAGTCTCTTATAGTAGCTCGTTTTGCGCATGTAATTATATGTGATGCTTTGCATTTTCCATTAAAACACACTTCGCCTTTTGTTTTGGAGAGTACCAAACATGTTAAGTAGATCTCTGTTTCAGTCAAAAAATGAGGTGAACTTTTCTTTTCTTCTTGTCAGTTATATTTGCTGGCAATGGACCAAAGACATAAGATTTCTCCAATGATCTGATAATTAATGGGCACAGGGTAAGTAGCAATAGAGGGCACAAGGCTATCGTGACTAGCGTCTCAACAAGTTTGGTGGGTTCTGATGATGACCTGAGGGCCTTTTTAGAAATAACAATAATAGTAAACCCTTAGTCTCTGTTGCATATAATCACAGTAGATAACAGCAACAACAAAATATATGCTATAAACAAGTCCTAGCAAAAACATCTCCCATTATTATGCTTACAAACCAAATACAAACAGCTTAACGAAGATAGTTCTGGCAATTCATACACAACTCTGATTCAACACCACATGCAAAGTAGGGCTCAACGATCTTATTACTACTAACTAACAGGACGCAAGCTTTGATATAGAAAACTAGAAGGCAACACTTTCTATTCACTTTTCCATGAAGAAAGAGGTGGGGTCTCTGAATCCTTCCAAGTCTGTATCGTCGCAGGATATCTATCGCCTTTAACAGCAGAAGCAAAAGATTCGAGCTGTACCATTTCTTCCTTTGTCAGCTTAACAGAGAGTGCTCCTATGTTTTGTTTCAAGTTCTCGATCTTAGTAGTTCCAGGTATAGGGCAAACATCATTTCCTTGGTGGTGAATCCAGGCTAATGCTAGTTGAGAAGGGGTGCATCCTTTTCTTGAAGCCATCTCACTAACTCTTTCAAATAATGTAATATTCTGCTCCAAATTCCCTGGCTGTAACCTCGGCAAGTACTGGCAAATAAAAGTCCATTGTTAGTTGTGGGAACAGTTAGAATTATACAGTCTATGTATTCATTGAGATATTGACTAGATACGTAGACCCACATATACGCATAGATGTATTCTTCCAGATTATGAGAAATAAGACGGTTACTTTTATCAGAGCCACGATCTCAAGACCCCAAGCTCAGCAGATGCATCTATCCCTCTTAAAAAAAACCACAACAATTGTTCCAACTGTTTAAGAATTTCAAATTTACCGCCTTCAATAGGAATAGTTTGTGTGTCACATAGTAAGGCCGTGTATGAGAAACTAGGAGCATCATTCCCATGATATCTCCCGTTTTCCTCGATTATACATAGTAAGTTTTTTTGTGTGGCAGGATGACAAATGTGAAATGAGCCTAGAAATGTACTTTAAAAGGAACTTAAACAGTTATAGATGCATTTTTATAAAGAATTGCTGGTGGATTTAATCTATGCATTAGTATTTGACAGAGAAGTTACCCAACAAGACACAAATGATTGCATCAGTTTGTATCAACCGTGGTAAGCCTATGGTAAGCTGGCCAAGCAAGCACAAAGGAGGAGGCGACACTCCTCAAAGTGATACACGACTAATCAGAAGCCCATGGTTCAGTTGACAGCAATTAGCAGTTCGAAAGACGTGATTCTAGTAAAGTTATATCTGGTTCTTTTGATTTCACTATCAAGAGCACATCTTACTGCATGAGACCTGAGCAGTTAAATAGTTCATAAGCTTCTTGGAATACGCGTACCTTTCTGAAATCCTCGTCTGTTAGATTTTCGAGCAACTTAGGTCCAGAAGATAGGAAGCCCCTCCCCAAAGGACTGTATGCCACAATTCCTATTCCGAGCTCTCTGAAAATTACGTAAATGGTGAAAACTCATGCGGTTGATTTTCTAAATGAATATAAATGATTAAATTTGTAGGAGAGATGAGGGCTCTTAATTACCTACAAGTTGGGATTATGTCGTCTTCCACGTCCCTTGACCATAGCGACCATTCGAGCTGGACTGAAGTTATAGGGTGAACAGCATGTGCCCTCCTGATTGTTGACGCCGGGGCCTCAGATAATCCTACGTATTTTATTTTTCCCTCTTCAACCAGTTTCTTAAGTTCTCCCATCTGACAATGTAAAAATAACATGAGAATACTATAGTATAAAGAACATAAATCTATCTTCTATACATGTGACAAGAAACCTTCAGATTTGGACAGTAATCAATCCGTCAGATGTGGATTACATTTATCAACGACAGACCTAGGGAAACAAAGAAAGGGGAAATGTAGAAAGAAAACGTCTAATAAGACAATACTCTTCTAAAAAGAGCACATTATAGCAATTTTCTTCTAACCAATTTAATTTGCTACCACTAAATAGGGAGGTAATTATGAATTAGATTGCCGTTATGATTTTCAAACTGGTCTCTCTACTAAGTTCTAAATTATATTTATGGGAAGTCATGTGTATAATTTTTGGGACATGATTGGAGTCTTCTCAAAGGGTGACTAACATGAGGGTAGAACACCAAAAAAGAGCATTTCTATTGTTAGTGTATAAAACTATAATCCTCAACCATCACCGCTACTTCGGATATTTGGCGTAAGGATAGGATCCTTTTAGATGGTATTAGAGCTACTCAGGTTCAATTTCGGCTTGTCACCAATTTAACATGGACATTAAATAAAGAAAAATTCCCCAATTGACCCAAAATATGAGACCAACAGGGAGATGACCAGCTCATTATGCAATAGGAGGGGACACCTCATCTGTCCTCCTTGTTGGTCCCATATTTTGGGTCACTATGACAACAAATAGGGAGTTCAGATGAGTCCAGATTTCGACCAATAAAGATGGCTCTCACCCCGAGGGAGCGTGTTAAGAGTATGAAACTCCTTTTAACTCTCGACACGCTTACCACAACTTCAGAGTTTTGGTGCAAGGCAGGACATTTGACATCAATATACGTAAGTACCGAATCTAATAATTAGAGGAAAACTAGACCAGCAGAAGCAAAGAAAAGGAGCAACCGATCAAATGGAAACTCACAGTGATCTCGACGGGGACTCGAGTGTCGATGCGATGCTGGTAGTAGAGATCGATGCAGGCGGTGTCCAGCCTCTTCAAGCTCGCCTCGCAGGAAGCCCTCACGTACGCGGGGTCTCCCCGCACCTCCCTCGTGTCCCCCTCCATTTTTATCCCGAATTTGGTCGCCAGCTCCACCTTCTCCCTCACCCCCCCTTTCAAAGCCTTTAATCAATTAAACACCACCAATCCAAATTAAATTAAATTGATACGTTAATGGTTTAACCCATGAAAATATCAAGATCTCCGAAAGAACCGATGAAACTCTTTTTTTTTTTATAAAAACCTTTCCGAGGAGGAGTTCGTTGGTGAAGGGGCCGTAGAAGTCGGAGGTATCGAGGAACGTGACGCCGACGTCGACGGCGAAGCGGATCAGGCCGATCATGTCGGGTTCGGGTTTCGGGGGCCCGAAGAAGGCGGACATGCCCATGCACCCGAGGCCTTGGGCCGAGACCTCCAGCCCTTGGGAGCCCAGCTTGATCCGAGGAACCGCCGCCCCTGCAGCTGCTGATGACGTCATCGCTGGCGCTGGCTATTAGCGAGAAGGTCACGGTCTTTATAGAGCATTCGGGGAGGGGGGTGGGTCCCGCCGTTCAAAATTAGGCGGCTTGATCCTAATTTTTGCTTAGGGAAGCGCTTCCGTCATCAATGGAAAAATAATAAATTGATTTTTATTTTTTTATTTTCCCCTTCTTGAGAAAAATCCGTGTTAAACAGAACTCGGTACCATCCCAACTCCGAGGATGTACGCCGACCACGACCTGATCACCTCTGTTATTTATACGGCAAAAACAGGGAGGTGGTCACAGAGTGGAGATGGGTTGATACTTAAAAAAGATGGGTTTAGGACACAATCTTATTTTGAAGCACAAATTTTCAAAACCGTCTCACATAGACATTTAATCCTCAAAACAGATCCTTTTCCATAATATTTTCAAAAATCGACCTCATTTCAGGCTTGGCGCTAAAACCAGGTCGGTTTTTGTGAAAAAATTTCCGAAACTTTACGGGAGCTCAACTCCCGTGAAGTTTAGTTAAGCTTCGTGAAGCTTAGTAAAACTGCTAAACTTCACGGGAGTTTAACTCCCATCAAGTTTTTTGAACTATGAAACTTCACGGGAGTTGAACTCGCGTGAAGTTTAGCAGATTTACTAAACTTCTCGGGAGTTCAACTCCCGTGAAGTTTCGGAAGTTTTTTCACAAAAACTGACCTGGTTTCAGCGCCAATGCTGAAACCAGGTCGGTTTTTGAAAATATTGTGGAAATGGGTCTTTTTTGGGATTAAATGTGGAAAGAGGACGTTTTTACAAATTTGTCCTATTTTGAATTGAAATTAGTTTCTTCTTGGGGGGAAATATTTCAAGCCCTCCAAGTTTAAAAAAAACATGCTTTTCGCCTCTTTCGACATTTACTCATGCTGAGGTACGAAGAGACAGAGAGAAGTATGAAATTTTAAGGGGGCTCCCGTGAGCTTTTTTTCATGTGTGTTAGACATTTCTACTTTTTATATAGAGGCTACTCCCTTAGGAACCGCTCCATATATTCTCTTCATATTCTTCTAACTATTAACCCCACTATCTCAATCCCACAAATATCTTAGTTGTTGAGACTAACTTGGGTGACTTGGTCAAATATGGACCGAGTCAAGTTACATCCATTGGCCAAATTAACCAAGTGACATGTCTCTCACTATTCATGAGCTCATATGTTTTATAAAAATTTTACTGGTATTCCTTTTATTGAAGGATCAACAATCATATTTGTAGTAAGGATGTAAGTCACCTTAACTTCTCCCTTTCCTACAATAACTTGAATATAGTGATATTAAATCTCAATATATTTTCCCATGGAGCTATTCACACTACTATTAATTAGGTTAATCGCTACTTGATTATCACAACAAATATCAACATGTCCTTCTAACCAATTGAGATCTAGATCAATAAAAATCGTCTTATCTAGACAACATATGTACTTGTCATACTGCAAGCTACATATTCCGCTTCTTATGTGTATCTAGCAACACATCCCTATTTCTTGCTACTTCAAGAAACAACTCCTCCTCCAAAGAGAAACAAGTTTCCAAAAGTGGACTTTCCATCATCTTTATCACCTCTTAAGTTAGTATCAGAGAAATCGAGGAGATCAAGTGGACTGGATTGATAAACCATATCTGTAAGTCAATGTGCCTCTGATATACTTCATAATCCTTTTAACAGCTTCTCAGTGTGTTGATCCTGGATTACTTTGATATCGGAAAATCAGACTTACAGCATAAGCTAAATCAGGTCTAATGCACAACATTGTATACATTAAACTTTCAACTACTTGAGCATAAGGAATATCTAACAGATTTTGCACTTCTCCAGGGTTTTACTCTTTACACAATCTCTTTCCCATGACCAATGAAGTTAGTGCCCAATTGAAATTCTACATTTCAAACAATTTAAGAACTGACATTAAATATTTTTCTTGGTTTAAACTTAACATTATAGACTTTCTATCTCAAATTATTTGAATTCTAAGAATACATGATGCATCACCTATGTCTTTCATCTCAAACTTTTCGCTGAGATCTACCTTGTTTTTGTTTAATATTTCCATGTTATTTTCGGCGAGCAATATATCATCCACATACTAGGGTAATATAGTAAACTTGCTCTAAAGTTTTAAGACATATACACAATTATCTAATTTATTTTGAACTAAATCAAGTTTGGCGATTGCATCATGAAACCTGAGATACCATTATGTTCTTTCTTTCAGCAACAACCATTATGTTCTGGTGTATACAACATTGTTGTATGCCTTTTAATTTTATGTTGAATATAATAACTCTCAAATTCTTTAGATTTATATTCCTACCCCTATCAATTCTAAAATTTTAGATTTTCGTTCTATGTTGGTTTTGACATGTGAAGCACAAAATATTTACAATGGGTTAAGCCCTATTAATCTAACAAATATAAATGTTATAAAAAAAATTTAAAAGATGATCTTTCTAGATGATCTCAAAACGACGGGTTTACTAATATGTCTACACAAACAAGCTAGGAAATTTACTAGGAAAATATTAACGGTCCCTTTCTATTCTCAAACACTAGAAAGCAAAAAAAACATAAAAAAAACATAAAAAGAAATTAAAAATAAATCTAATCCAACGGCTCCTTCTTCATGCTAGTGAGTTAACCGCCGACCCTTCTTCTTAATCCCTCTTAATGAACATAATACTAGTTTAATTAAATGAATAATGCTCCCCCTTCCTCTCCTCCGCCACGTGATTACTCCTCATCCCATCCCCCTCCCTCCTCTCCTTGAATACTCC